ACCGAACAGAAACAGGAGAGAACTATGTGACTTTGAGTTGGGAGGCTGGTGAGAATTTTCTTAGCCAAATCATGGAAATGTAGACATCAAAGTTGATGGTGAACGTACTCCCTGGAGAGTCCAAGTTTCTTAAATGTTTGTTAAAATCATGATAATTTTTCCCACTGCTTTTACAGATAGTAAACTTAATGAGAGTTCTTTTGTTTCCACCCTGAAAATGAGTGCAGGGGCTGCCTAGCACTCACATAGTCATTTACTGGAAGGTCTTCTTCACTTGCTTGTCTGGTGTGACGGGTCTTCTCCACCTTTACTTGCGGAACCACCCATTGCTCATTCTGTTCAATCCCCTTTTTTTCATTGGTAGGAAAATGAAGATCTTCACCGTCGTCCTCAAAGTCTTGTAATTCTGAAACTAAGATAGTAAATAAGAAACTGTGATGCCATTACTTTGCAAGTATTTCTGAGAGAAATGTTTAGGAGAATAAAAGTCAGGGAGAGCTATTTTTTGACTGGTATAATTTAGGCATTCATGGACTACATTTCCTAGCTCTTTAAGTGAATAGTTGTATTTCACTTCTCACCACCTTCATTTGTCATCAAAGATTTGCCCCTTTTCTTAGTAGTAGAGTCAATTGACACAAGACAAGGGACTTCTGTCTCCCTCAATGTTTTAGTTGCAAGTGCTCAAGATATTTCCTGATTAACTGATTTGATTTCATCTCTGCTGCCTTCCTATCACTTTTCTTTTGTGTCTCATTTTTTACATTTATGTTTTTTACACATATGGATTTTTGCCAGCTCATAAGTCTGTGCAACACATGCATACAGTGCCCACACAGGCCAGAGAAAGGTATCAGACAGCCTAGAAATGGAGTTGTAAATGGTTGTGAGTCACCTGTGTGTACTGGGAGTTGAACCTGGGTCCTCTGCAAGAGCAACAAGTGCACTGAACCACTGAGAAATCTCTCCAGCGCCATCCCCAAGACAAGTGCTCTAACTGCTGAGCTATAAGGTCACATGTCTTATTTATTTTTAACTGACATCTGTGGAAGACTTGCTGAAAGTATAGGTTCCTACATATATTTTATTCTGTTTCTCAATATCTTACACAACTGTGGTACAGTTGTCAAAAGTAACAGGTAAGAATTGGTTCATTGCCATTAACTAAACTACAGACTTTATTTATCAATATTTCCATTCATGTTCTTTGTTTTGCAGCATCCAGTTTGGGATACCAGATTGCATTTTTTCATCTAAAAAACACACAAATAATGCCAGTAGAATCCTGCATTGTTGGTACTGTCCTGTCTTGAGTAATACAGTGAAGTAGTCTTTGTGCAGAGTGAGGGAGGCCAAAGTCTGTGTCAGCTAGACAGAATAAGGTGTCTGGGGACCTTTGTCTTCTTGAATTGAAGGTTATACTTTTCTGCTCTGGACCCCTAACCTCCAATACCATTTATAGTGAGTCCTCAAACATTCCTAAAGAAACTGTACTGCCACAATTGTCATATATTCTGAAGAGAATGCCATTTGACATGAGAATTCTTGAGATAGCAGTGCACTCTTTGGTCTCATCTCTCCCCAGTTCTTGGGATGGGACACTGTGGTTTTGAGGAATAGTCTGGTATCCCTGCTGCAATGAATATCGATGTACAAAGAAAGATAGATTAGCTTTTTGCTATCACTGGTCACATTAGGGTTGTGTTGCCTTTCCTGAGATATTTTAAAAGCCTGTCAGCATTAATTTATCTGATTTATAACTTGGCTGTGAAAAATTCCCTCTTCGCCACAGTCAGCATATACAGTTTCATCCAAGAAGGTATAAACCGATCATTTGTTTTCATAGAAATGTGGTCTCTCAATGTGGGAAACATTAACCTGTTACTGTATTTTTGTGATAATATATTGCTATATATAATCTCTCTATATATATGTATATGCAAAAGCACACACATATGTACATATACATACCTGTCTATGTAGTATATAGATACTACACAGCTTGGGTTGGCCTTGAACTCAAAAATCTTCCTGCCTCAGACTCATGGATACTGAGAATGCATAGATGTATCAACATTCCTAGCATGTTACCATCATTGAGAAGAGAAGGAGATTGGGGATAGGATACCATACCTGCTATTAGAGTGGGATTGATCCAGTACATGGTCACATTATCGCAAATCTCCAGAATTTTAGAATTTTTCAGAAAGTCTCGGTTTTCAATTGGCTTTTCTGCAGGAACCCAAATGACTGACTGTTCAAAGAAAGTTGTAGTGATTTCTTCATTCTGAAAGAAGAAAGGTCAGGGTTGGGATTGTAGGGAAATTAGTACAGCAAGTTAGACATTATGAAGTACTGAAAAGCAGTATGTTTTAAGCCTGAGTAATGGCTGCAGTAGCGGACAGCTGCGTGAGAGCTGTCTCCATGTTATGCTGACAGTAGATGCCCACAGAGGAGCTAACTGATCCTTTCTTTCTGGGTCTGGCAGCAAGGTTTCTCACTAAAATAAGAGTACTGTCTGGCATCATTTCCCTTGAGAGGCTTTCCATCATGTTCTGGGAAATTCCTGGGCCATGCAAGTTTTAATTCGATTATCTGGAACATGAGTGATTTACATTTCTCCCCTTTAAATGGGTGAATATCTACCTTGTTTTAGGATTATAGCTAAGGTTGAACACAGGATTTCGCCCCAAAATGAAGACAAAAAACCCTCCTATAATCTTAACTAGCCAAATCAGTTAAATAGCCAATTAACCTATCTATCATATTGGATTTAAGAGAAATTTGTCTTTACATGTTTGATGTTTAATGTTTATGTTTAGTGTTTTATGTTTAAGTATTCAGTGTGGAAGGTGGACTCATTAATTCCATTCATTTCAGATGCTTAAGGGTTATCTCACAGAAGGCTCTTGTACCTCTTTTGTTTCTTCCTGGCTTTATGGTTTCAGTGTATTTATTTATTATCCAAAATAAGCCTTTGTATGATTTTTTTCTCAGAACCATTCCCAACTTTAAAGCTCTTTTGCCCTTGAGTCTGTGAAGACCTTGGAACACATTGAAAAGGGTTGTATAAAATGAGGTTGATGTGTTGACCAGCTTTGTTAGCAAAACCAGGGCTATTTATATATCAGCTCTGCAAGCTTTACTTACACACACGCCATAGATACAGTGGTGATGGAAGTACAGAGTTAGAGAGGTTGTGTAATTCACAACCACAAATTTGTCCCACTAAAAAAGACCTGTAGTGTGAAATTACGTTTTCTTGGAGATGAAACAATTTTACTACCATGTGACCAATATGTGTATTATTTAAAAGATCCCACCAAATGAACTGAGGAAAAAAATTTGAGCCACAGAGAAGACATGGTCTTCCTTATTATTCAGAAAAATCCCATTCTATTGATTTAGGCTCTCATTGGTGCCTGTCTGTGCTTGAGACATATTTTTCTGTAAACATTCTCATATGCTATTTCATATAGTCACTTTTAAAACATTTTTATTTATTGTATGATGGGGAGCAGGGCATATCCCATAGTGCCCATGAGGAAGTCAGAGGGCAACCTACAAGAACTGGTTCTCCTTGTGTCAGGTAGATCCTGAGAATTAAACTTGGGTCATCAGACATGACCACAGGTGCCTTTACCTGCTGACCCTTCTCTCTGGCTCAAAAGTATCTTTTAAATCCTAATCTCCTTTCATGTTATCATTGCCACCTATACTACTTCCTAATTTCTTGGAAGTTGACCTGTTTTCCAGAAGCATCTAGCATAAGTTTATTAGAAACAAAACAAAAGTCTGTAAAATCTACCATGGATCTTGGACGCAAAATATCCTCTCTGGAGATACTTTCTTCTTTGGGGGAAATTCTAGGAACAGGGGTCTGAAACTTATGTAGCTGTGAAGAGATCAATAGCATGAGAAAGTAACGTGGGAACTAGCCACAGCACTGAGGAATCTTGGGTAAGGAACAGGAAAAGCATTGCTACCCATCAGAATTTCCCATAAAAGAAAAGGAAAAGTAGAAGAAATACATATACATGGCCAGTTGGAAGAACATGGAAAAGAATATGGGAGACAGAGATTTCAAAGTATACAGAGTCCATTATGCCATTGCCACAGTTGTGCTTTAGGTTTTCCAGTTTTAAATATAAAACCAAACCAAATTAAACCAAAAGAACCACAAGGGATATAAGGATTGCTCTGTTTTAGGCAGTGATGTCCCATCTCCCATGGCTTCTTGGGATCATTCATTCACTAACTGGAGCAGTGGCCTAGTCATCCCAGGTTAGCAGTGTTTCCATAGAATCCATATTATGTGGAAGTCTTTGCCTTTGCCTTTGTCTTTGCTTCTCCCAGGGAGCACTTTAGATTATGACACTAGCATCTCAGCATAAAATGGTAAAGTGAATCCACAGAGACCTTTAAAGTGGGTGAATGTTGAAGCATGACAGAAGTTGTATGTAGCCTTGGGACTAGTTTCCTTTTTAAAAATTTATTTATTTTTATTATTTTATATGTAAGGTGTTTTACATGCGTGTATGTGTTTCACCAGAAGAAGGCATTGGATCCCCTGTAACTAGAGTTACAGATGGTTATGAGCCACCATGAAGGTGCTGAGAATTGAATACTTGGGGCCTTTGGAATAACAGTCAGTGCTCTTAACCTCTGAGCCAGCTCTCCAGCCCCTATTTTAATTATATTTTTAGTTATGTGGATGCATGTATATCTCTGTTGGGATTTGTGCATGAGAATGAAGGCCAAATGTGTTGGATCCCCCGGGGCTGGAGTTATAGACAGTTATGAACTGACTGATGTGCACACTGGGAATTGAACTAGGGGTCCCTGCGCCATCTTCTCCATCCCTGGCCTAATTTTCTTGAAGTCTTTCTCACACACATGTTTGCTTTTGTTCTTCTGATTCATTGCTCTCACTAGAAATCATTGGTTTGGGAGCATAAGTACATAGGGTTATAGGGGCATCTTGCTTTGCCAGTGAACTTGCTGTGGTGGCCACATCCTATGGGTGTTGTTTCAGGTGCAGACCCTTATAAAGAAGAGGAGGGTCTGGCTCGCTCTCTTGGGTTCCCGTGAGAGCATTGGAAGGGCAGAGACTGCATCTTCTGGAGAAGAAAGACCGAGACAGTTATTGACTATTATTTGTGTAAGTGCTTCCCTAATAAATACCTGTTTATCATTTATCTTGGGTCTGGTGGACTCATTTAAACCTTGCCTTCATAGGGTTTTTGTTGTTATTTGTTTTTTAAAATAGGTATCTGGGTATAAATGTATAGTGTTATATCCCAATGGATGAACTTCATTTTTTTTTCTAAAAGGCCTCAGTTCAAGACCTCAATCTGCTACTCACTAGCTGTGTACCTTCAGCAAGTCACTCTTTTGTTCTAAGTCCCAGCTCCTATATCTGAAAATGGGGATAACAATGGTGCCTATTTACAAGATCGAAGATTCAATGAGAAGAGAGCATTCCATACAGCAGTTGTATAGTAAATGATGTCTTTTACTACCATCATTTTTCTCACATACCTCATCTATTTCCTCTTCTGGCTCAGAAAATTCAGGAATCACTTTGATTTGAGTTTTAATAAAGCACTTTTGAAGACCTACAAAATAAATGCCAGTGTATCCCTACAAACAGACAAAACAGTACCACAATTAATTTCCTGTAATGGCTCCAATGAGTTCCGTGGCCTACCAGAGCCTCAGACTAGCAAACTTGGAATTCATAGAGAAAGCTTTGTCATAAATGAAATGAAAGTTAAAGGCTATTTTTAACTTGATTCAATGGTTGTAATATTTTAAGTGGAAAGCCTCAGGGGAGACAGACAACTCACGTTTTTAAAGTCATGGACTTCCAATGTTTCATCAGTGCCATTTCCACTTCTGAATATTTCTGTTCTGGTCATGGGATCAATTTCCATGTAGATCTTCTTCTTCTCACCATTGCTGTAGAAAGTGTGCTCCATGTCATAGGTCTGTGAGAGCAGAGGAACAAAAGCAAGCTTTAAGATAGTCTGTGAACTCCTGCATAAAATGCTTTAATTGGGGAAAGGCCTGGGGCACCTTCTCTTTCCACAGCATTTTCTACTGAGGGGTCATCACAGCAGCTTGCCATTGGACATTCTTTAATATTTGTTATCAAACTGAGGTGCTTTTTAGCGTTCAGGCTGATACAGGGATCCCTTCAGAGTCAGAGTTTTGTATTGAAGCCAAGTAGCTGAGCTAATTATGAAGAATTCCAAAGGTTTTCTTGACACCCTTGGCTAAGTAGCAAATGCTATTCTGTAAATCAGCCTGTGAAGTATTTTCTCCTTGTGTTAAGCCTAGGGATCACCTCAAGCCTATGCTGTTTCCTGAAGCCACTGCTTCCTTGTCTAAGTGTCCTGGGATTACTCTTTCCATCCCTTCCATGGAATCTAGTACATCCAAGAAAGTGATTTGAAAACACTTAGAGCAGTTAGCTATTACTGTCTATTCCCATATCTATCAGGATTTTAATAGTGCCTCAATAGTGTTGTGTTTGTCCTTTTGAGAAACTGAAGATGTTATTGGCCAATATTCAGTCATCATCTTATCCTGTATGAATTTATTTTCCTGTTCTTCAAAATCTAGCAGTCACCTGCCTTCCCTTAGCAGGGAATTTCATGGGTTAACTATCCCCACTCAGGTTATTGCTGTGTTGTGTTTTTAAACTTGATTCCATTGTTTCCAACTTCTCTAGATTCCTCTGCATAGATAGACTTTGGTGACAGGGTGAGGTGCCATAAATTAAGTAACAGAATCTTCTAAGGAGAGTGCCTCTGAGTGGCTGTTTATCAAGCCATTCTTGAGTGGCTGAAACAAATCCCCACACCTCCTTCTGCTTTCTAAAAGACAATTCTCTCACTACAGTCCAAGAGGACCAGTCCCGTGATTTATTCTATCTTGGGGTTAAGCATTTAACCTATTACTTGGGACATATTTGGGGCTTTAGACAAATACCAATCCCAAAGGACTTTGATCTCTGTTGCAAACCATGGAGAGTTGATGGTGCCATTTCCAAGTCTATCTTCTCCCATTGCTTGGAGGCCTTTGCCTGTTAGGTTTCTATGTATTCATTTGTCCTTCTGAAGAAGCAAGTTGCCTACAGAGCCAGAGTTGCTTTCTAATAAAACAGTTCCTAGTGGCACCCCTCCTCCCCCATGAGCTTGCATTGGTTGTGTTGTTTTTAGTGTCTGCTGATGTCTGTGACAGCATGTTAGTTTAACCTGGTCAAATTTTTCCCAACTCAAGTAGAAAAACAAGTTGGATGGGTTTGTAGAAACAAGTGTTACTTCAAGCATGAAAAGTCTGATGGAGCTGTTGAAAAGAAAAACAGAGGCAAAGGCATTTTACCTCCCTTAGCCCTGTAGTGCCTTAAACATGGATAGCAGTTATTTGCTGATTAAGTATCACCACTAATGACAATTCTTATCTTCATAAAGGAATGCCTTGACAATTGGTAGGGTCATTTAAAATAAAGGAAAAGAATATGGGGAACCCTCCAGCAACTGCAGAGTTAACTTAGGAAGGTTGGCGTTGTTTGTGACAGGTAGAAAACTCCTTTAGGCATGTTAATTACTTTTGCCTGTATCCTCTCAGTTCTAGTTCTGCAAGCCAGCTAGAGGAGAGAAACTTCTAGGTATGACAAAAAAAATTGAGCTCTCTGTCTGCTGACTTAAGCAGAGGACAGAGGCATCCACTTCAGACACAGGCTTGTCAGGTTTCCCAATAGGGGGTAGTTTCTTTAGAAATACTATCCGTTGTGGAGACAAATGTTGACAGTGCTAGCCACCAGGGGCTGGGGTGGGGTGTTTGTTTCATCAGTAGCACCACTGATGGATTATTGCATGGAAAAACTGGGTTAGAGACTAGGGGATATTGGACTGTAGCCTACCTGGGCAAAAGAAAGAGAAAATACAGACTGCATTTTCAATCATCAGTAGAAGACTATGGGACTGTGCTGGTGACATTTAAAATTTCAGTGTGCTTGTGTGGAATGAGTTTTCCTGCACTCTTGGCAATGCACTGTACTTGGACACCTTTCTGGATGAGTACTATTGGAAACTGCCAAGCTCAGCAGATCTTCATTATTTCCAACATCTCTGCAAAGAATTGGATTTGTTGGTTTTGTTTGTGTTGCTGTTGTTGTTCTTCGTTGAGGGAAGAGGCATCCTCATTAATTGTACCCATTAATCAGCTTGTTGATTCTGTGTTAGCAACGGGAGCTTCTTAAATAGAGTGAGATCAGACAGAATGACTTCATTTGTGTATGAATCCTTAGTGTGTGGGAGGGTGTAGGAGTAGGGAGCTACATATTCACCCAGATGGAATTCTGCTATCAAAGGTGTCCTTTTGAAACAGACTGTCCTTTGTCTAGGAGGATGATGCCAATGACTTACTTTGGACTGTGTGGGGATGGGTTTGAGTAAATCCAGACATACTGTCGCACTCAGGTCCCCATGGAGCACACTGCTTGGGTAATGACTATGCAAGCTTCACTGGCCCGTATGAAGACTGAGCTCATGCTCTTGGCATCAGAAGTACTTTGCTGTCTACTAAGCTCCCTGGCTCCTGGGTTGAAGTGCCTTCTGGAGATGAAGCACTAAATGGCTTTACCCTGTCCAGGAACAAACTAAAGCAGAGACAGGATGGCTGACCTTAGGAAGGTGTCAGTGTTCTCCAAGCATCTGTCCTCAGTCTCTGCCCTCAACTTAGTTTTATTCCAGAAGAGACAGAGCAAGGATAGCATGTGACATGAAATATGCCCTTGCCAAATTGGCAAATAGATGAGCACCCCTTTCTGGTATCTTCATACCCTGTTCACTGTGTACCTTCATAGCCTTTTCCCATTCCTTATTCATTTCCATTTGTTCCTTTGTCTTTTGTCTAGACAACCAGGAATCTGTCAGTGCTTTAGGGATCTTATGTAAGAGAAGAAACCAATCTGACAAATGAGTTTGCATTTAGATATTAGCAACAGAAAAGATATTTGTTAGTTTGAAAAATTGAATGCAATGCTTCACTCAAAGGAATGAAGTTGTAATGGGTGCATTTTAGGTACTGTGCTACCAGGAGCAGGAGATATGAGTGACAGCATCTTTCCAACACAATTCAAATGGGTTCTTACTGGCTTCATGAGGGTTAGAATTTTGGACTAGTACAGAGAAGCCAGTGGACTAGTGGGTGTATGGTTAAACACAGGCAATATATAAGAAGACCACACTGACAAAATATGGGGGGGGCATAAGTGAATTTTTCTTCCCTGTCTAGGAATTCTGTTCTCAGTCCAGTTAAGTCCTCCATTCAGGCAGCCCATAAGCCCTAACTTCCTCCTGCAATGTGAACACTTTACCCTGCTTTCTTGTCTCTGTTGGTGACATCTTTGCAATCAGAAAAGAAAGCTTTTTATAAAGAGTAAAGCTGACTCACACAGTAGTGTGATGGATCTGTTTGGGGGCAAGTAGCTTTAGCCTGTCCTGACAGGGATTTGAGGACATTTGGCTTAGGATTGTTTTTTTGAAACCTGTGATTAATCTAGCTGGTCTTTTCCCTCACCTTCATCCTTTACTGTCTGTTTATGAGGTACATGCTCCAAAGGTGAAATACATGCTCAGAATAGCTGGCTAGCAGGAGCTAGGCTGGACAGAAGGGAAGGGAAGGCAGTTTACCATGTTATTACAGAGCTAGCCTGTGAGAATTAAAGGGCCTCTGGGTATTGCTCTACCAACACAGTGCCGACAGATTATTTCTTATGCTTAGTTTGACTTCTGCATCTTCAATCACCAGTTCTCAGCCCTGAAAATATTGGCATAAGCAACCAGCAATTCCTCTTTAAAAAAAGGAAGGAAGGAGGACGGAAGGAAGGAAGATGGAAGGAAGGAGGGAGGGAAGGAAGAAAGGCGGAAGAAAGAAGGAAAGAAGGAAGGAAAGAGGAAGTCCATTTACTTCATCTATAGACTTGAACTAGTTGGGAAGTTTTTCTGTATCCACAATTCTCTCCCCAGTTCCCCAATTCAGCTGGAAAACAAGAAAGAATCCTTGGAAAATGTTCGCGTGTTAATGCTAGTCCTTCCACTTACAAGCTGTATGACTTTGGACAAGTTACTGAATGCCTCTGAGGGTTCAGTCTCTAGCTACATGCCCTTTCTAGTTGCAATGTTGGAGTTGGCAAGTCCAGTTTTTCTCACATTTGTTTGGTACCTTTAAGGTTGCTTGCTGGGTTGCAGCTATCCATAGCTCACCTGGGATACTTCTCCCTACAGCTCTGTACAGCTCTGTTTGAAGGCTATACTTTCACATGTCCTGTAAAGCGCACAGTAAATACAACCTGATGGATAAGCAGTAAGAGTATACTCATGGCAATCAGAATCTAGCATCCTGTAATTTGTAAGAGGTATGCCTGAATAGTCCAAAATAGCAACTGGCCCAGTAAGGATCATTGTACAAGGGTGAACTTGGGTCTTGCAAGGAAAAGAAAATGAAGAGATGCCTTCTTTTCCAAAATGCTGATGTGGCAGCATCTGATGAAACTCAGCTCCCCGCTTAAGAGATTCCAGATACATCTCCAGCTTTTGCCTTGAGGGTATAAATCCTTTTCCTGTACCATGTTTCAACCACTAGACTGCCATGTATAAGAGCCCAGGCAATCTAGAGAGAAATGTTGTCCCTTTGTGTGCCTAGAGATGAGTGAAGAAAGTTGCTCTGAGGCTGATGTTAGTAGTAGAAAATAGCCAGTAAGCAAGCTGGACTGAGACTTGGCAAAAAGCAATTCTTTTGTGCAAAGGATTTTCAGCTTTGGATGATCTTGGGTATGAAACCTAAATGAGACTGTTTCGATGATCTTCTCCAATTGAGGTGGCATGGGCAGTACAGAATGCTCACTTATCCCCATCACCTTTCATCTCATGCTGCTAGAATGTGGAATTTGAAGGAGCATCTCCTGGAATATGTTGATTGCTCTCTCTCTCTCTCTCTCTGTCTCTCTCTCTCTGTCTCTCTCTCTCTCTCTCTCTCTCTCTCTCTCTCTC